CCTAATCACCACCTCATTACAGCAAGAATGAGGTCGCCACAAACAAAGCGAATCGCTCCGCTCATGCTGATGGAGTTGCATGTAAGAGTCAGTCATGCGTTTTGTGCAGGCCCTGCTGCTCTCAGTGAAAACGGGTAGACAAATAGTGATCATGGCTGAGTAACTGGACAGCAATCTCAGGTGAAAATAGGTATTTTATTCTCTTTTTATTCACTACTGCCAAAGGGTCACTGATGGAAAATGACTCTTGAAAGTGACTGTTATCCCCCATGTAAGCTTTTTATACTGGAACACAAAATCAGACTTTAGCACACTGAATCCAGCATATCAGACTGCTAGACTTCAAGATTTGCTGATACAGAGCTTTTTACAACAGCTGTTCTCAGATAGCAGATAGATATATAGATGAGTTTGTCTGTATTTGCCTACAAATAAACTATACCTACACTATATCTGTAGTAGGTATTTAATGATGCAGAGCTCAAAGTAGTCCTTCACTGGAAAACCCGATTACAGATTATGGAATCAAAGCAAAGCATAATGGGAGTACAGTGGGATCGGAGCTCTTAATGTAATCAGAGCGGTTTTGGAATTGCCTTGAAGCCAGCCATGCCAAAGCTATTTCTTGAATGACACCAATTAAAAAATTTGAGTCACACTGTCCTCTCAAAACAGCAATTTGGCTAAAGGGCATTTTCTTAACTGGGGAGAATATGGTGACAGATGACCACTGAACTCACAAATGTGCATTCTTTTTTGTAATGTGGGGTTTATGCACTGTAACCCTTCTATAATATCTCTCTCTGTGTAGTCGTGGATGGACTGTTCTTGATGACACAGTCTGATCACGTCCTGCCTTGACATGGTCAATTCTGAGTAACAGTTACTCTTCTGTTTCTCCTTACTAGCTAATTTATGAGCATCACAGTCATTGACCACAATTTCAGATCCTATTTGTTGATGTCTTTCTCATAGATCTAAATGCAGATGTCACTTTAGTCACTGTTCCTATTGAAACATTAGCCAGTTGAGCAGTGTTTGTGACTGAAGCTCCTGCTGTCTGTGCCCCAAATATGAACTCTCAAAGTCAATTAGATTTCTTCCTCCTGCCATACTGATCCAAAATCAAGGTGAACTGGGCCTGCACAGAATTTTTCCACATGGCAGGATGTTAATTGTGTGTTAATGTTAATGAGTTACAAGGTTTTGATTTGACAGCAGCAATATATATGTGTGAGAAGTAATGAATGATTTTGAGGTCAAGATTTGAATCAATTTTCAATATGTTATGTCTTGATTGTATTGGTATTTTGCATTCTATATTCTATTCTATGCAATATTATATTTCAAAACAAAATATTGCAAAGTCATGTGTCCTTGTGATCTCATGAAACAACTGAACTGTGAACAATATAAAAACATGATCTGCCTCATATAAACCTTATACAGCATGTCTCCATTTACTGCCATCAAATATATTCAAATAACAAATATATGCTGACATAAAGCATTAACTATAATTTTCTGTTTCAGTGTTTTTTTGTCATCTATACACAGAGTTAGTATGTCTCATGTGTAGCCAAACATAATGCTACCGCTCTCATTAAACACACACACACACACAACTAATTTTGCGCGCGCGTGTGTACATTTAGTTAAGTACGTGTGTATCCAGCAGCAATAATTTGACCTTTGTCTGGACATGCAGATTCTAAATGTCCCTTGGCTCTGATGTCAGACTCTGTGTGTGTATATATGTGTGTCCTACAGGCTGAATTGGGATAGCTGAAACTTTTTTTGTTTGTTTGTTGTTTTTAAAAAATATTCTGCTGCATAGTTTTGCCTTGACCAACAACCAGTTTTGATGCCTAACATTAAATAATAACTGTAAATAGGGTGACAACGTGAGAGGAAGAGAGAATTAAAAAGTTCATATCTGTCAGTAGTGAATTGCTGACCTCAAAGTGCCAGAGTTCCGCAGTAAGAGAAAACAGTTTTCAGCTTCTGATTTCACCAGTCTAAAACATTAAATTAGCTGATTTTAATTCATTGGTTTAATTAAATTAATTGGCTTAATATACACATATGGATAATGGCTCTTAATCGACCCAACTATGTGAGAGAAACTCATAATTCAAACAACAGGTCCAATGGTTGGCTAACCATTTCAGGTTTCAGTGTTTGGATGCTGAAATCAGTTTCACAGGGAGTCCGAGAAAATATTGTCACTGTCCAAAAACTACGCAGCTCCAATTTTTTTCCATTTTTATTTTTCTACATCATTTGAACACAGCAGCTCTCCTTTACATTATGTCAAAATTTCATGATGAATGGGCCAATAGAAATACTCTAAAATTACTTAAGAAAAAGTCACATTGTATTTACTTACATTAAAACTAAACATATTTTAGCCTTCTCCTATAAAACCACCATTTTGTAGATACCTTTTTGGTGATAGTTAAAGAAAAAAAAATATTTTTATTGTGTTTGTGTTGATGTTCAGTTAAGCTTTTCCTGTACATTCTCTGTTTTATGAACTGTTTTTGAAAGCTGCAAGTTTTCATTCCAATCAAGCAGGAGCACACATGATGGCACTTGCTCAATTTACTCCTGTTTTTTTGGGATGACAACCTGAGATAAGGTGAGCAGAAAAGCAGATAGGACATGTGCATGAGTACATTATTTTTATAATTTTATAATACTCTGATATTGACCAAATTCTTTTTTCCCTATGGTTAATCGAATTATTGAAGACTCTAAATTCAAAATTAGTCAGAATGGACTTGTGTAATCTCTTTAGATTTTCACAGCATAGCCCACTATAGGAGGGAATAGTAAGCGCACTAGTTGGTGTAGTTGGTGGAGGTTTTTTTTCACGTTTTTTGGCCATGGTCCAACACCTTGGATTTGTGAATGTGAGGCCCAAAGGGACTGAATGTATCCGGAGTGCTGGAGAGCAGCCAGCCTGCTGGCTATGCCCAGGCCAAAACGATGAGCCCCCATACAGAGAGAATGGGTAAAAAAATCTACCCAGTGTAAAGCTTCATGGACAGAAGTATGGCATTTTAAGCAGGTACTTATAGCCAGTTGGAATTTGGCATTAATGTCAGTTATGCCTGCTGATAGCATGTTAGTATACATATCATCACTGTTGTGTTGCTCTGAAATAGTAACTTTATAGGAGAAGGAAAAAATGTTCTTGACTTTAATGTTAGGAGTCAGCATGAGTTCAGAAGTTCAGCGTGAAATGTTCACATAATGTAAAATGCAGCTGCCATTTCTGAATAATGTAAAAATAAAAAAAGTAGAAAAAAGGGAGTGACACGGTATTAATGTGACAGTGACATATTCTTCTTATTAGTTTTGCTTATCTTGTGTCATTTTATTCATGCTTTATACTGACTTGAGCTGAGGTAGAGGGAGGCCCCCCCCCGACCCCCACCCCCCTTCCCTTTCTTTTCTCTGAGCTCTGCCCGAGTTGCTAAGACAACATGCGAGGGCCGTCACTGCTTTGCATCCTCTGTGAAAGCAAAGAGGAGAGCGAGAGGGAGAAAGAAGGAGAGAGAGCGACCCCTCGCTCCGGGAAGGCAGCATAAAATCGGGATAATCGCTGTCGATTATGCCACACAATGGGCTGCGGTTTCTGAAAGATTCATTCATCCTGGAAAAGAGGGAGCTGGAGAGTGGGGAGAAAGGGCCTTCCATCGGCCTCCAAGCCCCTCCACAGCTCTCCCACGGTGGGCACAGGCATGACATCAGCGGCCTGAATGGAGCTGGCATTGGGCTCATGCCCACCCTTCCTCCCTCTCCCATGCAAATTTGGAGCCCGGGCTTGGCTGCTGAGGCTGGGCAGCAGTGGGGTGGGGGGTGATGGGGGGTTATTGGGGTAGCAGGGGCCACTGCCACTGTTTGCGTGAGGGACAAAGAGCCCTCAGATGAGGAGAGGGATAGCAGGGGAACTTCACATGGCCTTAGCCAAGAGAGAGAGAGAGAGATTTAATATGCCTTTCACTGGCCCCTTTTGGCCAGTTAGTGTGAGACTCACATGAACACACACACATACAAATCTCCACATTCCCTATACATTCCCCATGCATCCAGTTTTCCTTCAGACACTGAAAGAACGGGGCGTCCCTGTCAAATTTCAACAGGAGAGAGAGGATCTCATGACAAAGTCTGTAGAGACTGATGGGATTCCCATGGCTGTTACCTTGGCGCTGTCTTTCACTTTTGCCTTAATGTGACTACAGCTTTTAATGTTCATCCAGGCTTTTAATAGACCTGTTGCTTTCTACGTTGTGTCTGAAACTGAAAGAGAAAAGTTTTGGGGTATCTTCTCTCTTGTTTTAGTCAGGTTCTTTGCTTTGGTAGCAGCCTCACAGTGTGCAGAGCCTTTCAAGATTCATTCCTTTCCCAGTGTGAACACTCTCACCATTGTCATGAACTGTTGCGTAATAGGCTCACTGCCAAATGTTTCTGTTGTAAAATAATGAGTTAACATGCGAGTCGTGTAAGACTAGGGATCACGGTTACAGTGTGCATTTGTCTCATTGTTATACACTGTAAAAGGGTCGGGAAGCAATGCCAATTCTGGGCGGATGGCCCTGAACTAAGAAAATGTAGAGACAAAGAAACTGAGAATTATAAGAACACTGTATAAATAACATACACAACCTTGCCTTCCTTCATTCACAGGATTAAACCATTTGACATTTGCCTTTCTGAAAAACTTGGATAGCTATGAACATGTCTTTTCCTGGTTGTAGAAATTTTTTTCCCTATGGGCCATTTGATCTGAAATCGCTGTGCGTAGAGACTGACTGATTTCGAGAGCGGGTGAACATGCTTTCTGGGGGATTAACGAAAGAAGAGAGTGAGATGGAGAGAGAAAAGGGGTCCCCAGGGGATTTTCAGTGCTTACATTTAATCTGTGTTAGAGACTCCTCCCTCTGCTACCTCCACTGCTGCTGCTCCAGTGTTTCAGAGCATCTCAGCCTCGCTCTGTCTTTCTGGGACTGACTCACTCTGGCTGTTCAGGATCTGGGCTTAGGGCTTTGCTGTTGGCCTTCATAGCGAGAAGAAGTTGCTTTCACTGTGGGCTGAATTGAGTGGTCTCTGGTGGCCTGGACTTGAAGCAGCAGGACTGCCCCACGTCTCAAAGGCTGGAAGCCACGGAGTTGTGATTAGCAAGAAGTTTGGAGGCTCTTTGCTGTCTCGCTGTATTAGCTCATGCTCATGGCTGAAGACTGAGGCCAGTCTGTGTATCACTGAACAAAGTAGCCAGAGATGACGTAAGTTCATACCCATTTATGACTTATTAGAAATAAAATCATGAGTAAAATCATTTTTCTTACTAAAGGTCTGCTTTAAGGTCTTCATATATTGTCGCTATCATATCAAAATCTTGTACAGCAGATGCTTTTTGCATTGTGTGAAGATTCCTGGAGGAATGTACCAAAAAGCTTGGAAGTTAAGAACATTTTCTTCCTTCTCTTGTAAAGTTACCATTTCTGAGATATGAGGTTTTGTTACGGTAGTGATAGAAAAGCCTATACTGACTATAGTCTATAGACTACAGTACTTTGTTACTGTACTCGCATTTAATCATTTTCTTATGCTCCTCTTGTTAGGTTTATTGATTTATCCTTAACATAAGGCTTATTATTCTATAACTAGATGAAAAATAATGCAAAATGATTGAGATAGTAATTCATAAGACTGAGCAAATTCTAAATCCACCAACAAGATTGGAGTTTAAGGGCTTAATCATTTCTCATCTACTTCTTTGACCCAATTAAGTATTCCTTGGTTCCTCAAACAAAGTGCATCTGTCACTACATTGCATTGTCTATGGTTTTGAACCATGACCTCAGCAGCTCAGTGCTGGAGGCACTTGTCTAGTGAGCATGCCCTGTTTTTGTGGGTCCAAGTGCTGTGTTGAATGTAATAAGGATGAGAGGAACAGCCTCGGAATATTTAATATCATGAATCAGTGTGTTCTCTATGTCAGCAATTGGCTGGGGTGAGACGGGGCCTGGAGCTGTCCTCGCAGCACATTAGCCCAATGTTATTGAGGCTGCAGGTGACAAATCCGGCTTGTTGTTTGTCTGACCTTTTTTTTTTGCTGGGTGGAAGGTCACCATACGCGGTTGGAATAGCGAATTTGTCTCTCCCCCCCGCCCCCCCACACTCATACACTGCCACACACTGTCAAAGAGTCATTGTGTCCACTGAACTTAAGTAACCTTCTGTACAGAGGCAATAGACTAAGAAAGCCAGTCATATTTTTGTCTGTCTGAGTTGGATTTCTGGGGGCTTGACACTTCACTGACCTTATCATTACTGTAAAAAAAATGGAAAAAGTTGTATTATTTAGTCACCTCATTTAAGGCAAGACTGAGATAACGATGAATGAAGGGCTGGGAGAGAACTGCTTGAGAGAGGGATAGAGAAAGAGGCCTTAGGCCTTGAAATGTGACATTTAAACCCCTGATGAAAGCAGATGGTGCAGAAATATCAAGATGATTGGCACCTTAAATAAAAACTTGTTAACCTTTTCTCAAGGCAGCCCTGAAAGCTTTTGTCCGAGAGCTGTGCCTTATTTTTTTCTTCTGAATCTGTTCATTTGTCAATCTTTACTGCTGGACAATTCAATTACTTTTCCAGTAGGCGCTAATCGTAACTCCTTGTCAAGGCCAGATAAGGTCGCATTAAAGAAGGAGAGATGTGTTTCAGACATGCGCTGCTTTAGCTCTCCAGCTGATACAGTTTAATCTGATAAACAACAACAACAAAAAACAGAAATAAAGTTACTTTAAAGCCCCTTTATTTCATTACCCATGCTTATGTGTTGTGGTATTTAGCAGCTATTTCATCCACATTGCAACATGTACAGTGATGATTTCATAAAGTAACAGTGATTACACAACAAAGTTTAGTTTTATACGGGCTACTTCAACTTATCTAAGCACTGAAAGAAGAATAACTGGGCATATTATCCATGTATAGTTTTGCATTGAGATTTTTTAAGATAACTAGGAGATCTGAGGTTCCACATAGCTTGTGGCCTACACGATTTGGGTCCGTTCCATTATAATTCAATCAGCTGGGCCTATTAATACATACTAGCCTGATCAAAATTTTAAATTCAGCACATGATTACTTGTAACTGAAATGTTTTGCTCCAAAGTAGATTATAGATCACTTTCAAAATTTTCCCTTATTTCGTAATATATATTGTCAGGTATAACACATATGAGAAATATCAGTGCTATATCTTGATTTATACTACTTTAATTGGAGAAATAACAATGTATTCTTCATCATATGCCAACTATTATTCTTTTAAAAACTTATATCCAAAATTCTTGGAGAGATAAATGGATATATAGCATTTTGAAAGGAAATTCTTCAATTGTAGGTGATGAAGTATATCATTTCATGTCAGTAAAACTGGTAATAACTACAGTAATAACTACAAAGTAAAGATAGCTAGGAAGCAAGCTATTTAGACCATTAAGCTGCTTTAGGCTTGCATGTTAATATTTGCATAAAATGAACAAAAAGGCAAATAAATCGTTCATTGCATTCATTTTTATGAGAACTAAGCATTAGTGAAATTTTCATGACTGTGATATGCCTAATGAGAAGCCTTGGGGTCATCCATCACAGTAATCCAGTAACACACAGACATAACATTAGAGCTAACAAACCTCCACCTACGTGCTGTGTTGGCTTTATTAGAATAGTATGGAAATGCGTGATAAGTGGGAAAATTTACTGGGAGTTTTTGTGTTAAAATGCCAGAATTACATTAATAAATACAAACAATTCAGAGACTCCATCTGTGTGCCCTACAGCTGACCAGCTGCTTTACTTATAGGGACTATGTAAGTACCTCATTAGGACAGAAACATCATGGCTCCATTAACACACCTGACATATCCAATTAACGATACTCAACTATGTAGGAACCTGCATGAGAAACAAACATGGATTAAAGCTTTGGGTAAACTGAGGAGCATCACAGGTCAACCTAATGAACACACATTTGCAATATACTAGAGGCAAAGGTCAGTTATCTACAGAATCTCCATTCACCAAGGCTTAGGTCAGTTTACCTTTAAAGGGCTTGCAAACAGTTCTAAAACGTGAAGAATGACCACAGAGAGATTCATGATTAGATTGTTTTCATTCCTTTCTGGTACATTCGCCCAGAATATACCTGGACAAATGCCTTCCAGTTTGATATCCATATGGTAGCTGTAACAGGAAACTACCCTGAGTCCTTTATGAGTTTTCTCCACGCTGTCATCTGTCTGAGGGATGAAGCCAGTAGGTTCTCTTGTTCTGCTTTCACACCTGTCTGCAACACACACACACACACATACACACACACACACACACACACACACACACACACACACAAAAGAGTGTAGCTGCCTCTCTCCTCACTAATTAACAAATCTAACAGCCAGTCTGAAATAGAGCTGCTTCTCAGCTTTCCGAGCTGCTTGAAACGTGTGAGTCTATGGAGGCAGCAGGCAAGATGAAAGTCTCTGTAGAGTCTTTGTATTGAATAAAGGCTTATATATCAGCACAGTAGGGTTTGGCTGGAGGACTGTTTATTTGCAACTCATACAGAAGGAAAAAATAGTTCCATCCCAAATTGCTTTGTTTCCAAATAGCTTTACCCATCACCTGTCTATCTGTCTTTCATCCCTTTCTTGTTTATTTCAAAGGCATCTCACCTTATCTTAGATTGGGGTTGTTACCTTTGGGATGAAAATGGTAAATCAAGTGAAATCAATTCATGGTCAGCAGCAAAAGTACAAACTTTTTTGTCCCCTCTATATGTGAGAGTTGTCAAGTGAGTGTGGACTGTGAAAAATAAGAGACTTCATGACATTATTGGGATACACAGCATGTATCACAATACTTCATCTTTCTGAGGTTTGTGGCAAGTTGGAATTGGACAAAATGCACCAGCAAAGCATTAGCGCCATGTTTAAAATGCTCCGAAAAGGCTAAGAATTTATATAAAGTCATTAAAAGCACTTGCAGAAATGAACTCTTTAACTCATCACGATGGAATGAGTGGTAAAATCAAACCATTGGTAAAAATAAATTGTTAATAAAATAAAAGTAGGGTTTAATGCACTTCCAATCAGTTCCTTGTTACTCTATAGTTCATGTAGTTACTACACATGGGTTGTTCTTCTTGTTGATGTTTACTGGCTCTCTATAATTGGTCTATAATTAAATCATTGATATTGTTTGAGATGTTCACGTATTCAGTGTTTTAGGATTACTGATAATAACCATGAAAAGCATACTGTGATGTAATTTATTACAATACCAATGACACATTGTCATGCTTACTGTCAGGTCAAGGACACTGATTCTGCAGAGCAAGCAAAATTCAGTACGTCAAGCATAACACTACAGTAGTTATATGCAGAAATGAAAGTACTACTGTCTTTATGTCTTGGACATATCCAGGACTTACTACTGCCAATATACTAAGCCTTTGTGGTAGTTTCAGCCACAAATTGGAAGCCTTCTGGCTGTGTGTTATGTACAAAACTACTGCATAAGCCTAAATGCGCAATTTAAACGCACATGGAAAAACTTAAATTGTGTTTCTCCTCCTCATGCATATGCATTTGAAGGAGGATTATGCGATACATGGGAGGATTGTGCAGAGAGTGAGTGGAGCTGATGATGAGCTGTAGAACCAAATCAGATGTTAAATTAAGGCGTATTGTTAGCACAAGACACAACAAGATTTTGCACTGCACCTTCACCCATACATACGACTCACCCAGTGTGAGTTCCTCTTTGAGGAACTCTGATCTCTATATCCCACAAAGTTTACACATCAAAAACATCTTGTTTGTTTCCCTTTGCAAGTAGACATTCTTCGGTTAGATCACTCACTGATAAAATAATAAATGCTATCTCATTGACAACCATACTGCTATGCATGGTTTCACATAATTTCACTTTTGAAGTGTTAGTCTTTGTAACAGGAGCTCATCAACAACAGTGCTAAGCAATAACGCAACATCTGTTCCTCCTTAACAGCTCAGAGTCTGTTTCAAAGACTGCTACTGACAAAATCTGCTTTTTTGCTTTTAATCATGAGCAGACGACAGTGACTCTCCAGTCGTCTCCCATCTGTTCCTCTCCCTGAGTAACCCTGGACAGCACTATCATGAGAAAAAGACATTGCTATGTTTTTTAGAGGTCAGTGTAGGCCATATACTTGCTTAAGGTTACTTTGGTTTGACTGACATTCGGATCATCATGTATGTAAACCTGCTTTGGTATGTCAGCCTCTTCTCTTCCAAATCTGATAACAACAGAAATGAAGGCCTCACATAAAGCAAGTGTGGGCACAACACTCTCAAATCAAAAGTTTCATAAAAAATTTAAAAAAATTCTCTTTCCCTCTTTCTCTCTCTACAGAGCCAACAGCATGCCTAAGCAAGTGGAGGTGCGGATGCACGAGAGCCACCTGGAGCCCATTGAGGCCACTCCACGCTCCAAATGTGCCCTCCTCTGCCAGAAGCTGCGCAAGAACCTGCTCCTCACACTCACTGTTCTGGGTGAGTATCAGCCATCAGATTCTCCTTAATGGCTTTCTTCACTTTGACTGACTTCAGTCTAAATTCAAGCTTCAAGTTTCTTCGTATTAAGGAACATTTAGCAGTCTAAAGTTATCACTGTTGTTTTGCTATACATTCAACATTACATAATAATTTTGATGCAATGATGTAATTATTTAATTAATTGTATAGTTAGTTATGTTATTAATAACTTTTACATTTCATCTACATTCTGTATTGATAGGTTTGAGCGTGCACTCTGTTTCCAAATAATGACAAAATCTTGGCAGAAATGTGAAGCATAGTTTTTCTTCATGCAAAACAAGAATGTGTGCATAACAGTAAATTTCTGTCAAATTCAGATAATAATAATAATAATAATAATAATAATAATATATCTTTTCTTGTACTTACAAACACAATTATGGTATCAGTTAGTTAAAATCACAGCATTTAGGTTTAGAATCCAGATTTTGAACAAAATGTCAGGGCATACCATCATTTCCATAACTTTTAACACTCTCTGGCAAATTACAAGTTTGGCTGATTTTTGAAGTTAAAATAAGAAAATAAATAAATATGACATATATGCCATTTTTCTTTGAGTTGAAGTGCATATAAAATTCAGTTTACATACATGGACTACATTCACTACATGGACATTCACTACATGGACTACAATGCTAACTGAGTTATTCTAAAGTTATAGGTGTGTATAAAAAAGTTTGACCAGCAGGTTCTGGCCATTTAAATTAGATTATGTAACTGTAGGATCTTTGCAAAAAAGGCAGACAGAGAAAGAGAGAACATGTATTCACACAGATGATCACATAGATAATCAGCCTGATGAATGATGAAGTAAACAGAAAATAGTATTGTCTCTAACAAATGCACTTTACTGTATGAGAATGTTAATATATGTGTTTGACTTTGTCAGAAAAAAAGCCTTTACCTGTGTGAATCTCTGGTGCACCTGTGGAACTTTTATTTATGTGCATGAAAAGGGACAAAATCTCTGAAATCTCTGACATCTTTAAGGTTGTACAGGGTGAGCAAGCAGAGTGGGGCTAATAATATATCATTATGATTCAGTCATGTGTGGTGTGTACATCACATGTGAAGCCATGCTTTAAACACACACCGTAAACACGTGCAGCTGGATGTGTGTATGTGTGTGTTTTAGAGCATACATAAAAGGCATATAGCACTCAGCTGTTTGCTCGCATTGATGTGAGATTATAGTCCCGGCAGATAATCTGCTTGGATGCATTAGAGCTCTATAATACAATAAAAGATATGGTTTGTGAATTGAAAACAACAAAAGTCTTTATATGTTGCTCCTGGTAGCTTTAGAAGCCAGTGCTCCTGATTGGATGAGGGTTTTCCTCTTAAAGGTTATACTTGCTAGGGGGCCCAGTAGTGTTTAATAACAGAGTGCATTATTGAACAGCTTCACTGGATTGTAATCCTTGGCATGAATACAAAGGAAATGTCTTTTCCAGGGAAGTCGTGCTGCTGTTCTATGTCAGTGTCTGGCTGTGAGGGCTCCAGACTGCCCGGTCACTGGACAGCAGAGAGGCCATGAGTACAGAGAGGCCGGTCAGTTTTCTCTGGGGAAATTATTCTTAGAGGCCAAGACTCTCATCATGGCTCCTGATTTAGCCCCAGATCTCTGCGGCACCAGGCTGTGTTCCTGCCCACTATCAAAGTGATTGTTAGAAAACCTGCTTCCCCCCTCTGGGGAATACAGATGGTTATCTGGTCATGCATTCCAAGAGTCTGTCCCTGACACTGATGAGATGACACTTTTTTTCTGTTCTCTCACTTCACACTTCTTTTTTTTTCCCAGCACATGATTCAGTGCCTCCCCAACACAGATTCACATAAATATGCACTACCAGAATTGCCAAGATCTAGAAATGTGTTTGTTTTTTGGAATTAGACTATATTATTTGATATTCTACTAGACCTTCGGTTTCTGGAATACTTAAGCGAACTACATGCCGATGAAAATGAATAATGAATATATTCATTTCTTTCTCTCAGTTGACCCTCTGTAACCTGCCAAACCAAACCTCCACCTCTCTCTCTCTCTTTCTCTGTCACAGGTGTGATATTAGGAGCAGTAGCTGGTATGCTTCTGCGTGTAGCCTCTCCGATCGATGACAATATTGTCATGGTTATTGCATTCCCTGGAGACATTCTGATGCGGATGCTAAAGATGCTCATCCTTCCTCTCATCATATCCAGTTTAATCACAGGTAACCACTAATCCAGTCTACTTTGTGAAAGACCTTATCATGCACCGCTCATGAATGCATTGTTTCGTAGGTACTGTTGCAAGGTCTGCAAAGCTAAACGGAGTGATGATAAAACTGTAAATTTAGAGTGATCAAATGATTTAGATTTTATATGCATATGAAAAAGCACACTGTAAGGACAGTATACAGTGTGTAATCACTCCAACAGGTATAATGTTTTTTGTTGTGTTATTGAGTTTTTTATGGATAAATACCTGATTAGCTAGCTAAATTAACATGATTGCCTACACTGGTAGTTCCTGTAACATGACTGAACATATTGGAATTTGCTAGCAACATATTACTGTACTTGAGATGTATACAGTTGTAAGTTGCAAAAGTCTGGACACCGCTGGTCAGATTACATGTTTTCTTGAAAAAGTTCTCTACAGAGAACTTATATATGGCATTTTCTCTGAAAATGTCAGTGTACAATTTCTATTCTTTTGTTGATTTTAACATATTTGAAAGAAATAAAGTATAAAATGTGCAATAACTTTTACACAAGTAACATTTAATTTTTTATTTTTCCTAATATATTAAAATCAGCAAATACGTACATATCAAATGTGTAAAGTACTCTGTTCTCTGTAGAGGATTTGTTAACCTATTTCCACTCAGAAAATAAACAAAACTAATACCTAATGCTATGACCTTTCACATGCATACACAATCAATATAATTTAAAATGAATAACTTGTTTTATGTATTTTGACAGAAACTGAATTGTTCAATACAGTTTCTTATAAGGTTAAATGATAATGAATCATGTAAAGCTTGTCCAACCTCACATCAATAGCTACAAAAGAAAGCATTTGTGGGCAGAGCGTGGATAGGTCAACATCTAAAGTGATGTTGTGCAGATGTGCTGTGTATTTGCAGCTGTGTAGATAAATAATGTTAAGGTGCATACCAATGTGCATCTCACTAATAATACATAAAGCACTGATTTCCATATATCCTCAACCCAGGTCTTGCAGGTCTGGATGCTAAGTCTAGCGGCCGTCTGGGTACCAGAGCAATGGTTTATTACATGACCACTACTGTAATCGCTGCTGTTCTGGGAGTTATACTGGTGCTGATCATCCACCCCGGTAACCCCAAACTAAAGGAAAACCTCGGGGAGGGACTCAAGAATGATGAAGTCTCCAGTCTTGATGCCTTCTTTGATCTCATCAGGAATCTCTTCCCTGAGAACTTGGTTCAGGCTTGCTTCCAGCAGGTTAGTATTTACATTTTTTCAGAACCTTTTATTATCAGTACTGAGGTTGGCTATCACACTTCACTGGTATGGCAAGTTGAATGGTTTAGGCTGTTTTGTTCTATGTTCTTAGATCCAGACTGTCGTGAAGAAGGTTGAGGTTCAGCCAGATTTTGAAGACACCAACAGTACCATGGATGACTTTCTCTCTGGTGCCACTAAGCCGCCTCCCATATTCAAGGATAAGAAATCCCTGCAGTTCAAGAGTGGAATGAATGTTTTGGGTAGGAGGCCAAAACATCAGGCAGAATGAAATCTTATATCAATTTGTTTAGGGTTTCTCTGCAATTCGAATCTTAATGGCTTTGCAATCTCTCACAGGTCTGATTGGATTCTTTATTGCCTTCGGTATCTGCATGGGGAAGATGGGAGAGAAGGCAAGGCTCATGATTGACTTCTTCAACATCCTGAATGAGATTGTGATGAGGCTGGTCATCATGATCATGTGGTCAGTGATAATATTACAGTTGATTTGGCTCACTGTCATTAAAATCTGTTTTCTAAACAACACTGAAGATTTACAGTTTAGTGTCTCATAGAAATAGTTTACATAAGATATTACTGGTCTCTGGGCAGTTTTATAAAGAAAGGCACTAATTACTAACAGTCTACCAACATTTTGTGCTGGTGGGGGTGCCCAGTTCAGTGGGTTGTCTGCTAAGAACTTCCATGCAAGTGAACCCAGGTGCGACATTAACATATGACCAGCTATAACGAGCAATAACCATGTTTTGGCTCATGTGCTTTTTGTATGAAAGCTGGCAAATTGTAATTTAAGCACAACCTACTCTTTGATGGTGTTGTAAAATACACCCAAAGTTTTTGGAAATAGCAGTTTAACATTTACATTGTATTTCATTTAAGCTGTTCGGTTTTAGTTTCTTTTATTTCCTAATCACATTAAAAACAATGTTGCAGTGACATGGCAGCCGTTTACAAGATTTTTTTTTGCCATGAAAAACAAATAAATGTCTTTTAAAAACTCTTTTTCTCCTTTCTCTGAGCACCGACAATGGCAGCCATGTTAGTGCCAAAGATAAGACAAACTTTTCAAAGCCATTATATAGCGCACAGTCAGTATTTCTTATCAGCCTTGGCAAATCAGAGTAGGTGGTTCGTTATAATACATAACGTCACACACAAATACACTATAAATACATATCATATCTCTAAAATGATGACTTTTCCAGGAGAAGGAAAAGAGATACATTACGTTTAACACAAGTCAGTTTGGGCCATTTTTTTTGGTCCATTCCTCATGAAGTTTACACACAATAAAAAAGGGCAACAAGCACTTTCAAATTATATCAAAAACTGAATGGAGATACAAGCTTTTGTTCTGACAGCAGCTTAATGCAATGATGTAAAAGAGCAAAAGAGCAGTGACTGCCCCTTTGGTGTTATTATATGCGATAAATGGCCCATTGCGCCCATTTAATAAATCATGATAGACACTTTTTAATGCCAAAATACAGCTTGTGATGGTGCAGTACATTAATAAATCTGTCCATTAGAGTATGTGGTCAAACAAAGGTTAGATTAAAGGTCCTCACATATTATGTCTTTACTTCTAGGTATTCTCCCTTTGGTATTGCTTGCCTGATCTGTGGCAAGATTATCTCCATCAAAGATCTGGAGGTGGTGGCCAGACAGCTGGGGATGTACATGATCACAGTCATCATCGGACTCATCATTCATGGAGCCATATTCCTCCCTTGCATTTATTTTGCCATTGTGAGGAAAAATCCCTTCAGCTTCTTCATGGGCATCTTCCAAGCCTGGATTACTGCCCTGGGAACAGCCTCAAGGTGTGACAGACCACTCATAACTTCTTTTTTAATACAATCACACACACACACAAACACACACACACAAAAGTTCCAGTAGTTTGTCATAGTTTTAGATATAATAATAAGTATATACTGCCTGCACTGTCTGCAAAGCTGTTATCTGACTGTTGTTAGCTGCAGCAAAAGTTCTTGATGAGGATCTTCCTCTGCAAATGGATTATAAATAGTTCAGGTTCATTTAGTTATGACAACAGATGTAGTGTCAAGCTTTGGAGAAACTGTGTGAGCCTTCATTCTTGAATGATGATGCTCTTTGAATCAATTACCTTGACCGTGTGCAAATACTACAGTTCAGAAATAATTTAATGATTTTTTTAACTCTGCGTCTTCCTACAGTGCTGGAACACTGCCGGTCACTTTCCGCTGTCTGGAGGAGAACCTGGGCATTGACAAGAGAGTAACCCGCTTTGTACTGCCCGTTGGTGCAACAATTAACATGGATGGCACTGCTCTTTATGAAGCTGTAGCTGCTATCTTCATTGCTCAGATGAATGGTGTCAACCTGGACCCTGGTCAGATTGTCACAGTCAGGTAAGCCCTACTTGCTAATAATTGTATAATCAACATTGCTGATAATTTGTAGTGTCGCTATGATGCATATCTGTTTTTAACTTTTCCATTTTTATTAATGTTTCACATGATCTGTCACTAGAAAATTGTATTACATAATAATAATTATTTTTAGACTCTCGAATGTGATTACATTTCATCATGCAACATATCATATAAGTCTTTGTGGAGTCAGTAAATTATTTTTTATGTTGTGTTGTCAGTCTTACAGCTACACTGGCCAGTGTTGGAGCAGCCAGCATCCCCAGTGCAGGGCTGGTAACCATGTTACTCATTCTGACAGCCGTGGGACTGCCCACTCAGGATATCAGTCTACTTGTAGCTGTTGACTGGCTTCTGTGAGTAATTTGTTAATCATTTCATTTCAATTCATCATCTCAGTCAGTTTTGCATAGATAAATTAAGCCCATTCTAATGTCTGAATTTTGTTTACTTTCAAAACATGAATAAAAATGCTACTCCGATCTGAATTTTTGCTGAAGAAAATCAAGTGATGTTGGTGCTGGAATGTATCCCAATGTCAACACATTAGAATTTTAAATAAACGTTTGATGGAAGTTAACCTTTTTCTTTACCCAAAGTGGACACTGACTCAGATTGCTGATGTTTTCTTGTTTGATCTCTAGGGATCGTTTCCGCACTTCAGTCAATGTGGTGGGCGACTCATACGGGGCTGGCATCGTTTATCACCTGTCCAAGGCGGAGCTGGACGCCCTGGACGCCCAGCATGGAAAATCTGACGACATCGAGATGATGACCAAGACGCAGTCCTATTACGATGACCTCAAGAACCACCATGAAAACAACTCCAACCAGTGCGTCTATGCTGCTCACAATTCAGTCTTGGTAGATGAATGCAAGGTACAACTCACGCTTACGGACATAGAGACTTGTATATAGCGCATCCCTGCTGCATGTTTACTCAACATTTCTTCCTTTATTAATTTCTGCATGTTTGTATGCTGTATGCCAATGTAAATACATACACAACTATTCTGAAAATAATGGTGTATATATTTTACTGGGCATTTTCTTCAAGCAGCATTTTTTGTCATCTACGCTCAGTTAGAATGTAAGACAGAAATGGTGAATTAAAAAGTTACTTCAGTGCAGAACAGATTAGCATTTGAATCATTTCTCACCCTCAATTTACACACACTACAGAACTGTCGGAAGGAATAAGCAGCCATTCATGTTTTGTTCAAATGCAGTGACAGCACACTTAATTATCACTGCATAATGCCATTGTACATGCTAGGTTGAATGCACTCAAATTTTCTTGCCATCAAAAAGGCTGTTGTGAAGCTCAGAATATTATGTAGGATTAGAGTAGCTTTGGTCTAATATTTATTTTCAAGTGTGCTAGCTTTGAGCACTATATTTTGGAAACACATTCCTGTTTGGTAGAGGAGAAAAACTGATGCTAAGACACTACTGTCTATATCCGTGATCATAAAGAGACATGACCTAAAAGTTCATTTGGAACTAAGTACACAGTGGATGACAGAAAAGCTGCTGCTCTGCTGCTGTCTTTTGTGCTTGCATGACTTTGATGTCAATTTACTAAATTAACTCAAACTAACCTAATTTACCCAAAGATGCAAACCATTGTAGCCGCCTTGCAAAATAACACTGTATAGGCTTAATACTGCCACTGCCATTTATTTATAATTTGTTATCTCCTTTTATATGTTGTTTTTGTATGAACTATGTTTTATTTGTGGTTTTAATTTGTGTTTTGTTATGTATGATAAGATATACCAAATTGTGAATGTTGAAGTATTGTTTAATGTGGGTTATGCATGACAGTGCATGCCTAAACATTACAGAGCTAATGGAAAGTGCATGAAAATCTCAGTGCTGCTTTTCAGCTACTTATGGCTCTAATGTGTTGGTAAGGTGCCTCACATCTGCAGCTACAAGATTTCAGGTTTAAATGAACCCATAGATGTCCACAACTAAAGCTAGTATAATAAGGAAATGTGCCATAGATTTTGTTCTGTTTGGTCTAAAGTGATGTGCACCTAACAGTAAGGGAAGATGGGGAGAAGAAGCCCCCCACCCCTTAAAAACAGTGTAAAGCTTAACCATATTTGTACATGAGTTTAGCATGTACAGGATAATAATGCATAAACACACACAGTTGGAGGAAAAATGGAATAGCAGTCCATTTTGTTTTAGAGTACAAAAAAACAATATAAAAGGCCATTTTGCCCCACATTGGAGCAAGATATCCCCTCCCTACGTGGAGTTAGAAGCCCTCGAGGGAAATCTTGAATGTATAATTTATATGTCAGATCATATCTTACCTTTGCATTCTAACATATTTAATATTTCTATTAATATTTCTGTTAGATTTTGATAAAATTGTTTCAGATTTGCGCTCAAACAAGCTCATAGACAATATGGACCAAAGGAAATTGAACATTCCATATATGGACATTAATGGGTTAATAAGCCACAGCATTTCAGTCTCAAAACCAAACGAGCAAGAGGCTTAAACTTTAGGAATTCAATTTTTATGATGAAGAGATCACATAAAATGAATGTTCACAATTTGGTTTAACAAGAATTATAGTGCCAGGAAGAATTTCTTCTCATATCTTGTAAATCAAGAAGGTCATTGAGATCAAAAATATAATAATTATAAGGAAAGAAATTAGAGAGAGTGAGTTTGTGGTCATCTGATCTTAGTTGTTTATCTGTATAATAAAATAACCTACAGGATTTTTTATGTTTCATGGAGGTGTAAAGTTGGTTGTTCAGATGTTGTTGATGATAATTGCTTTCAGGTAACCTCGGCAGCCACGAATGGCTCAACTGCAGAGTACACACTTGAAGAGGAACCACGGAAAAGTGATTAACGCGAGCACACAGACACCCTGTGTCCGAGCCCCCAAGCTTTCTTATCTGGTGAAAAAAAAGAGAGAAAAAAAAAACACTAAAATCATGCACACGGAACAAATGATGGGTTTTGTAGTTTAGGCTTCAATTATTCCCATTACAGTTTGTTTAACAACCTGTTTGAGTGTCTGAAATAACATGTACTAATGCTAAAAAGGGTTAGAACCACACTGTCTGATAGTGCACTAACGTGCCTATGAGCTAACACTTGCGCAGCGGATAGCAAGGCTTTGGAGGGTAAAAGGAGAAATAATATACAATGCAAATTAAATTATTTCTGATGGTAATATATATATATACTGTATGCACGCTGTTTCTTTCAAATCTATGGTACGTAGTTTATTGGTGGGGGGAGGGGGGATCGATGAATGCAGTTAGTGGTGTATGAGCTGGCTCTTCAGAATGTAGGGAGAGAATACACAGATAACCCAGCAGTTCAGCTTGAACTAAATACTGTACTAAGCCTGTGCAGAGCCAATGCCCTTACAGTTCATATTCTCTTTAGAGCAATAGTTATCTACTCTGTAACCTCTGCCCTGTTTTACCTCACTCCATGACCTCTGACCTACCCGGAGCAAATTTTTATTGGAGCGTGTCTTCAATCCTCAGTGATCTGCAGGGAGTTCTGTTGTTACTAGGCTACACAAGTGGGGTAGAGGCCACTGCACATGCTCATAGGTACTAAAAGCACGAGCCATGTTGAGACTGAATGCCTCCCCCTCCAGAATCTTTCGACCACTCTGTCCCTTTTCTCTAAGGGTCCAGTGGGCTTCTTTTTTCTTTTTTTGGATGGGCATGATTGTTTTAGTGTGTAGGTGGCACTGAGGCATATATGCACATCAGAGAATAGGCCAAACAAGCAGCAGCCTACAGCTTCATTGACATTCACCGAAATTGACTTGATTAGCGAACACTCTATTTTTAGCCAATTCAAAGCACACAAAGCCAGAGCCTAATGAAATACCACTCACTACTGATAATTAATAATTCAGATAAATGATGCTTATTATCTCAGTATTTCAAAGGCGCTGAGCCTTTTTTAGAAAATCGATTTGCTTTGTTGGAAAGTTAATTATTCACATTTAAGTTATGCATTTGACTCACTTGAGGAGAACACTGCAAGTATCAAAAAATGAATATGTGTAAACTTCACCTGCCCAAGATGTCTTCAGATGAAAGCTCATTTCTTCTCTAATCTGTAGACTGTAGAATGTTAGATACTCAGGCAAATGAAAAAATGCACTCATTGTTGTCAGGGAAGACACATTCCTAATGCAGGCAGTTGAAATATTTTATATTAAGCCCTCTTAGCATGCTGGAGAGTAATTGTTTACCTGTTTACAAATTCACAGTGGGTTTACAGATTGCCAAATGCCTATTGCCTTTATATTTGTAAAAGCTTGCACTGTTTTATATTGGCTTTCTCACACTGCTTATCACTTATCCACGTTTAAAGGTTTTTTTGTTTTTTTTTTTACCTAAGAAAGCAAGCATACCCCCCAAAAGAAATCATTCGAACCATTTGAAAAGCACATTTTAAGGAACAATGTTAAGGCTGACATTCCAATTCAAATTACCTTAGCTTGTTTCCTTCTTTAAAAGCACAGAGGAAAATACAATCACAAATTAGTAATAAAACAATAGTAATAAAATGTCCTGGTATATGAGGAAAAATGCAAGGCAGAGGGATAACTGAATCTGGAAGACAACAAGAGTGCACAAGTGAGTCCATAGCACTACTAGTGCTAATGTCTTAGAGCCAGTGTGAGTGTATTAGTGCCAGCAGCTGCTCTCCTTATCTACCCTAGCAGTCTCTGTTTATATGATGTTCCTCCTCAGAAGCACATGACTGTTCTGGCAGCCCCAGTATGCTGCAATACTTACCTACATCTGACTGTCAAAGACTGACCAATGGCAGGACATACCTCCAAGAATTATAGCCACTGTCACCAGGAATGCTGAGGACTGTCATGGAACCAAAAGAAATGGCATTAAAACTGACACTCATGCATGCACACACAGCCATGGTAAGATGCAAGATTGGATGGATGTCAGGAATTTTCTTGTTGACCTCCTTTAAACTCAGCCTTGCCTCTAAAGCGTTAACCAGTGCGTCTAGTGAGTTTGACCATTCTGAAAAGCTTGTTAATGTGTTTAGAAAGTTTAGGAAGCTTATCACTCACATTCATAGTTTTGTCCCGTTTTTAAAATGTTATTTCACCTTTTTTATTTTTATTTTTTGTCCCCTGACTTTATAATAAAAATGCCGCTTTGTGAAGAGCAGTAGCTTATGGCGAAAACGCACAGCTCATTGATCTTTCACCCAACTTTTTTCTGTGCCAAGAGAATCGTCATCACGCCCCTGCATTGCGTTTTGATTGGATGTTTCCACATGCAGAAAATTTCAGTGGGTATCTAATGTGACCGGGCGCGAAATCTGATGTTGATCCGATGAGGTTCGGGATCCAGATGCAGATGCCCTGTTACGTAAGGACTGTCATCAACTGCAACGTTTTGAGCTCACTGTTACAGGATGGACATTTCATTCTTTTTGCACCAGCTTCTTAAAAGCGTGAATTGAAAGTGCCTCCTTGCACTTTTTGTACATATTGTAGGTAACAGATTTTGTTTTCTTTTATTTTTCAGTGGGGAAACATGTAGTGTTTAATTGTGTGAGCTTTTTTTGTAATCTAATAGAAATGTATTCTCTATGTAATGCATACAAGGACGTAGATTAGAAAATGTATAGAGATGAGTGTAATAAACTGCTTGTTTTAAGCTTAAATAGCTGTACTTAGCTGTGTCACATAAATGTTCCATATCCAATATATATCCTTTTTTGTATCTAATGTAAGTTTGGAATGTTTGTTCCCTACAGAAAAAGAAAAGTCGTGTGCATTCATTTTCATTGTACATAAATATAAATATATATATGATTTACTCTGTGAAATTGCAATGCAGAATGTTCCAGATGTTACACTGACTCTTGCTTAGGAAATTATGATGAAAAGGTGTGGGGTGTAATGCTGTGAGAATGTGTTTTTGGTCTGGTACGCCCCTGATCTATAAGTGGATATTATTATGGCATGCAATGTTTGGTTTTTAAGAAGAAATTAACAAAAAATCTTAAGCAACTTAGATGTGAAGAGCAATTTCTTGGTAAAAATGAGGATCAGGAAACATAAATTAAGGATGTGAAATCTGCCATGCAGCAGATAAAGAGTCCCCATCACACACTCCACCACATTCTTCTTCTTCCTTCCTGCTGGATTAGATTTAACTCAGATGTCCAATAGAGATGCTGCTTGTAATAAAATTCTAAGTGACAGTTGGTCCCTTGAAATGAGAAAAGAAATATAGCCTATAAGTTCTCAGACCTCAGAATAGGCATATAATGTTCATGAACATCATTCATAATATCCAGGCATCCTCTTTTCTTCTCGTGCACACAGGCACATAGACAAACTACTCCATTGTCACACTTTAGTAAAGTCTGAATAAACAAAGGTTTGAGACATGTACACCCAAACAGTCTCGTACTACAGGTACTGCAGGATTATCTTATTTTGTTCAGTATAAATGATTTTTGTTTTTTTGTTTTTTTTTTAAGTTTAAAACATGATTAATAGATTGAATAACCTATCTCACCTTTCACTTCTGGACCCATCTGTTCTGTTCCTAAATTCCTCTCATGCTTTTTGTGATGTTTCTTTTGTTTCGATGAAAAAAAAGAGAGCGAAAAAAATAATCAAAGAAATGAAGAAAATAAATAAATACCTGTGGAAGAAAAGTATGTTCATACATATCAATAAGTGTTGTACCATTGGTGTACATACAATTATGATAACTAATAAATGTTGATTCATAACTAATTCTGGTCTTTCTTTGTTTCTCACCACAGAATAGTGGACAACAGAAAGTAACATATATTATCATTACGGAAAAACAGGACACTACAATAGTTTACACTGAGCTGTTACACAATCAGCACATAAGTGTGGAGACTGTAAAGTGCAGTAAGTCTGCTAGGTAGTCAGAAGCTAATTGCTGTGGAGTGACCTTTACAATAAAGAACTGAATGCCCCCCATTAAAGAAATAAGATAGGAGAGCCCATAAAATCAAATGGTTGCTTTTTTTAAAAAGTCAAGAAATTTAAAAACTTCCAAAATAGTAACACTATTATTGGTACTGGAAATAGGCTGTTAAATGTTGGCAATAATTAAAGTCTTTACCATTGATCACAGCAAAGAATAAACTGATTAAATTTAGTAATTTTTGTCAGGGCTATCTTAATAGCAAAGGAAAGAAAAGATTATTCATATCAGTATATATATATATATATATATATATATATATATATATATATATATATATATATATACACACACATACATACACATATATATAGATGAACATATAGATAAATAGATGAGCAAAAGGTGCAGTGTAATACAAAGTATTTGTTTTTAACACAGTTTCGTACAACCCCATTTCCAAAAAAGTTGGGACACTGTGCAAAATGTAAACAAAAACAAAATGCAATGATGTGCAAATGATTTAAACCCTATATTTCATTGAAAAATAGTACAAAGACAACATATCAAATGTTGAAGCTGAGAAATTTTATTGTTTTCTTAGAAATATATGCCCATTTTGAATCTGATGCCAACAACACGTTCCAAAAAGGTTGGGACAGGGGCATGTTTACCTCTGTGTTTCATCACCTCTTCTTTTAACAACACTCTGTAAGCATTTGAGAACTGAGGAGACACTGCTGTAGTTTTGAAAGTGAAATGTTTTGCCATTTTTGCTTAATATAGGATTTCAGCTGCCCAACAGTTCAGGGTCTCCTTTGTTATATTTTTCATTTTATAATGTGCCAAATGTTATCAGTGGTGACAGGTCTGGACTGCAGGCAGGCCAGTTTAGCACTTGGACTCTTTTACTGCAGAGCCATGCTGTTGTAATACATGCAGAATGTGGTTTGGCACTGTCTTGCTGAAATAAACAAGGCCTTCCCTGAAAAAGACGTCGTCTGGAAGGCAGCATATGTTCCCAAAACATGTATATATTGTTCAGCATTAATGGTGTCTTCACAGATGTGCACATGCCTTGTGCACTAATGCACCCCTATACCATCATGAATTACTACTTGTGGATGCAGTGCCGAACTGTTTTCACAAACAGTGGTTTTCCAGCGATTTCCACTACAGAATCCTGTCTGTTTTTAGTGCAGTGCCACCTAAGGGCCCAAAGATCATGGGCAGCAAATACTGGTTTTTGCCCTTATCTCTCACATACAGAGATTTCTCCAGATTCTCTAAATCTTTTGATGTTATTATGTACCATAGATGATGAAAAGAAAAAGTTCTTTGCTATTTTATGTTGAGAAATGTTATTCTTGAATTGTTGCACTATTTGCTCGTGCAGTCTTTCACAGTGGTGAACCCCTCCTCATCTTTACTCCTGAAAGACTCAGCCTCTCTGGGATCCTCTGTTTATACCCAATCACGTTATTGACCTGTTGCCAATTAAACACCAGGTGTTTTTTTAAGCATTGCACAACTTTACCAACCTTTTGTTGCCCCCCGTCCCAACTTTTTTGGAATGTGCTGTTGGCATCAAATTCAAAATGGGCAAATATTTTTCAAAAAACAATAAAATTTCTCAGCTTCAACATTTGATATGTTGTCTTTGTACTATTTTCAATTAAATATAGGGTTTAAATGATTTGCACATCATTGCATTGCACATCAATACATCAGCCGTAGAAAGTTCTTTCTCTCTCTCTCTCTCCCTCTCTCTTTCTCTCTCTCTCTCTCTCTCTCTCTCTGGTTTAGGTTCAGTAGAGTGAGTGCACCTCTCAAGTGTTAAAACTGCAGAGCGAAAAAGCGAAAGTAAAACAGTTCCAGAAAACGCTTGTGCAATCATCACAGTGCAGATGTGCTTAGTGACTCACCGCAGATGCTTGAAGACCTCAGAACACAATCGCTTCTGAAAACACAGTCGAGTGAAAATATAGTGTATGTACTTGCTCAGAACAGCAGTGTATGTTTTATGTTCCAGCAGCCTCTGTATCATGTGTGGAATTATCCTGGCACTGTGAAGTAATAAACTTAATTAACTTGATTAACTTGTTTTTTTTATATGTTGGAAAGTTTAATCATGTTGAAGCTGTTATTTTGTGTGGTCTCGTGTTCAAAGCTACTGCTGTTCTGTTTAATACCATAGATTACATGTTCAGGAATAGCTGAGTGAAGTTGAGTAATAATTCATTTTAATAAAAGTCCCTACTCTGTGTCGTAACTAAAGCTAAACTAGAACAAACAATGCTTGTAAGTGGTCATGGAAAGTTTCACTTTCACTTTGGTGTTACATAAGTACATAGACGGCCAAAGTACAGAACGACAACAGCTGCGTTGCTCTCATTTGAGCTCTTTATTCAGAGGGTCCTGTACAAAAGATGTCCAACTTTGTTGTTGATCTTGCTGGGGAAAAGAGGATCACAGAAGAAGCAAAAAAAGCTGCATCTGAGATAGTGCAGGATGCGATTGATAAACAGTGTTATGGCTTTCCAGTCAGCTTCTACTACACTTGTTCAGAGCCAATCGACTCCTACACTTTCTGCTGCATTCCCACCAAGGAGTTTCTGCAGGAACTTCTAGCAAAGCTAAATGAAGTAAGTTTCAAGGAGGACACAGACCCTGAAGAGAATGAAACCTACGCATATGTCAAACCAAGTGATGATATAGTTTATTTGTGTGAGCAGTTCTGGAGTGCACCCAACACACTGTGTGAAGACTCAAAGCCTGGAACATTAATCCATGAGGTTTCTCATCTGCTGGGCACTACTGATGTCTCCTATGAGCACCTGACTGTAGAGATATATGAGGACTATGGGACACTACTTGGCAAGTCACAGTGTGTAAAAGATATCAATGGAAAAGATTATCATAGGGAAGAAGTGTTCCAGGTGAATGCCAACTGCCTAGAGCATGAGTTTGAGACCATCATCAATCATGAGCAAGTGTACTCTAATGGAAGATACCAGTGCTGTGGAGAAACTAAGAAAAACTCAGTCTGTAAACATCGCTCAACAGGCCATTACTATCTACATAAAAGATTTGGTGAGAATTTGTTTGTGCATACACACACACACATACAATTATACTATATATATATAGCATAATTCATACTCTTGCTGTCTTATCAAAACTTTCAAACTAGTTTTTTCATTACTTAAAAATACAAATCTATAGCGCTTCAATAACAACATTCATTGCATTCTCCAGGCGGGCAAAGAGCTGAGATGGAGCGTAAGCTGGCCACGTTCTGGGAAGAGAGAAATGCTCATGCAACCACTGAGGGAAAGAGGATGAGATATGTGAAGAGGAAGAACAAAGCCTGTGATGTGATTCCTGTTTCTGGGCCCTGAAAGCTTCCAGAGAACAATCGTGATGCTACATATTAAAAGATGCATTTGATGTTAGCCTGATCTCACATAGTGGAGTATCAATAAGCCATATAATCATGATATACTAACATACTGTTTTGCCTGATACAAGTTTATGGAAAACAGCCAAATGCTGATAATGTACCATATAACCATTTTACATGATATCATCTTAAGTGATTGATTTCAAACAGGATATTATGTAAAAAAATTTGAGAAATGTTGCTTATTGCTGAGTTAGATTACCTACCTAGTTAGCTGGCTAGTTAACATTAACGTTCACATGAAAGCTACTTGTCCCAGTGTTTGTTCTGTCATGTTACCTTGCTTTAGAGATCTGCTTATTAATGTCACTCTCTTGACATAAATCTAATACATATTTAACACATTTTTAACAGATTTTATATGCTTTTATGTAGCCAGAATGATACAAGAAAATGACTAGTTCCTGATCCTGCTACTTAGTAGAACAATTAAATGTGTTGCAGACCACTTTGTTTATTTTTGAAATGCTTTGTGTTACTTAACTATAAGTTGCATGAAAATTTTGTTGCATGTGACTCTCAACTGTAACTAGTTGTGTAAAACCTTGACCATGTAAAGTCAGCCTTACAGCTATGTTGCTTTATGCTTGACTTTATTTTGTGAATAAAAATTCTGGAATAAAAACTTTTTGTAGGCTGTGTCTGAATACAGGCTCTTGCCTCAGATGTCTGTGGTGTATGCTTAGCAATAACAGTATCTAAGGACACTATATGTCCATAAATTTGCAGACACTTGCTCATCCAACATTTCTTCCAAATTTAAGGGTATTTATTGGGATTTGGGCCCCACCCACCCCTCTTTGATACAGTAACAGACTATTCTATGAAGGTTTTACACTAGACAAATGTTGGAACATTGCTGTGAGGCTTGATTGCATTTAGCCACAAAAGCATTAGTGAGATCACATACTGATGTTGGATGATTAGTTCTGGATCACAAATAGTACTCCAACTTATCTTAAAGGTATTCAGTGGAGCACCATCGCTCCAGAGAACACATTTCCACTGCTTCACAAGCTAATGCTGGGGGCTTTATACCCCTCTAGCCAATGCTTAGCACTAAGCATGGTGACCTTAGGCTACTCCACAGTGTCCCATTCTATTGGTGATGATTTTCTATGGAATTCAATTTAATTCAATGCAATTCAATTCAATTCAATTTAATTCAATTTATTATCATTATACCAGTACAGGGTTGTACAGTAAAATTAAACACTGTCTGGTGCAGTGATTAATAAAATAGATTAAAAAAGAAGACAACAGCCCAAACACAATAAACAAAAGCACTATTTATACAAGCTGTATAATCAGAAGGGGTGTCTGGATATTTTTAGACATAAACTCTATATTACACCACTGAATGTTAAAATCCTGGCATAATTGAAAATAGCCTTTTCCAAGGAGGTCTAATCACAGATGGATTTTAAATCTTGGGGAATAAATTTGAAATTGAGTAAATTAAGTTGGGCATTTTGTGATGTATTTTGCATGAAAAAAATTCAACCAAACAATTTCAGATAAAAACTGGCCTGTACATAAATATATAGTCAACTGGTTAAGTGCAAAACAACATAATACAATACAATATAATAAGTGTGTGCAAGTCCATTTTGCAGAAAAGTGACATACATCACATAATGAATAAACTAATGGCTGAATATGTGTACTACACCTTGATTTTATTTGTTTTTTTCACATCCCTCCATTCTTCCATTTACTACTATCATGGCTGAAACCAGCTATAAGGATACCGAGGTATGGACCTTGATTCATAAGCTTTTTTGTTTGATTATTTTTCTCCCATGCTTTTCCATTCATGAGACTTAATTTGTAAACAGCGCAAATCTGATAATGTAGTAGCTTACTTAGGGTCATAGCCATGGGTATCACAAGCCTACCCCAATCAGACAGAGGTGGAATGTTCATCAAGCAGCATTTTTTTAAGATGATGAAAGTTGATTTGTTTCCTATGACTGCTGTCACTGTATTATGGCCAATCAAAATCATTGCGCTCTCTGCCAAGGTCCACCTTAGTTTCTCAGCTCTCCAATCACTGCTTAACAACTGTTGCTCTGTTATTGCCTCAAGCCTTCAGTTGGTTATTAACACTCATCATGTTTGTAACTAGCATGACTGCAAGTTCCTCTGTAGTCCTGGAAGAGTTTTATAAGATTCAGTGTGGAAACAGCGATGACACCCAATTAACAGTGACCTCAGAACAGTTGTGGTTTGGCCAGACAGACTCTGTATGAGTTGCTAACATTACCCAGAGTGACTTTGATATCCTGACATGTTCAGGTATGCAGCACAAATGCTATACGTTAACAAATGACATTGCAATGACATATGTGAGAGTTTATTATAGGGTAATAAACAGATTATGCTTCTAATTTGTTTTTTATTTGTACCCTCCTCAGTTTGGGCTACAGGCTAGTTGGCTATACTGGCAACTAGACTACAACAAGGAAATTCACTGTTCACATAATTAAGAAATCAACAGATACTTAAGGCTGTATTTTGTCTCATTAACTGTATGAGTAGACTACCTTCCTGTTTGCTGGATTTTACAGTGTATTTTTAATGTATGCTTTTTCAACAATCGGTGAGGACCAAGATGCATAACAGAAAAAGAAACATAAACCGAAAGAGACATGTAAATGAAATAAAGTTAGTGTGAAACTGTCACCTGATTCATTATATTCTATATAGGTTCCAACATGTATTTCAGCTGAAAATAAATATATAAATAAATACTTAAATAGTTAATTAAATAAAATGAAGTAAAATGTAATTAAATGTAACCAAATTATTACATCAGTTTATGGAACAGTGATAGCAGTTCATGGAAGAATGGAGAGATGAGAAAGTAGTAATGCATGACTCCAGGTTTTCTGGAGTCAGTCTGACTCGAAAATTCTGCCTCTGGAGTGGACTCCATCAACTCCCTGACTCCGGTTAATTTTAACCAGGACAGCGCCAAATCTGGTAGTGAAGGTATACACATGAGATTAAACCATCCTAAATGTAATTTGCATAATTTCTGAGTAGCTGCAGATCACAGTCACATGATGAATATCTGTAGATTATATCAAGTAATTTCAGGTAGCTAAATAAATGATTACAGCTTGACTAATGTTTCAACACATCTTACCATCAGCCTATTTCACATAATGAAACTCAGGCAAGGTCAGAGTGATGTACTGAGAAGATCATTACTGTAGTCAGAGTTCTCTGAAAATGGAACATTTTCAATTTCTTTTTCAATTCTTTGAAATCGAATCAAGTGTTCATTGGAAGGAGTTGGATGTTATGTTCTTCCTGTTTTCAGGAGGCTAAAGTTGGCTTTGCATTCAGCAGCTTCTTCTTTAACTTTTCTGTCCCACCTTAAATTGTGCAGTAGTTAGCACTTTCCATGAATAATTTAGTTAATTTTATTCCTTGAAACTTTTTAAAGTTCTTTTTTTTCTTTTCCCACCTCTGTCTGTCAAGTCAGATACTATGAGCTGTTTTTCTGAAATTTACAGCATTTTTTGCAACATCATTACCAATTTTTAGGGAGATGCATACATGGCAATTAAAAAGCCTGTATCAGTTGAAATTTTATTATTTATTAATATATAGATATTTATTAAATGCTTTTAGGACCTTTAAAATAAATAATAAAAGTCAAATGTTTTATTGTGTTTTCCATATTTTGTATATAAATCATTTCAAAGCCTTTTGATTTATTTTTCTCTGAACAAAAAAAAGTTTTTCACCAAAAATGACTAAAAACACAGGGTTGAAGTCTGTTGGTGAACTGGCAGTTAGCGTTCTCCTCCAAGAGTGTTGAGCTGTCTAATGACGTTGCGTTAGCTGGCTTTGCATGACTCGCGGGAAGCATGTGCTAGCCTTCATTCTAGCCTAGCGTTGGCAGTGTCATGAGACTGGGGGAGACCTAGCATGAGTAACTGTGGAATCTGCTAAACTAGGGAGACAATTGGAAAAAATGAAAAATAAAAAAAATGTAGGAGAGCTGATATATGACATTGTTTTTCCTGAGACACAAAGGTTGTCTGAAATGTCCTAAAATGTACATTGTACCATATGAGGCTAGTATACATGCAGCACAATTTTTGCATGTTGCAGTTTTTTAGTAATCCCTTTGTAAATATTTCAAGTTGAAGCCTAACTTGGAGGGCCATGTTGGCCTTTAAATAATCAGCCAAGCTGGTTGTTAAACATAATGACCTAATGTAGGGTATATTTGTATGGTATCTGGCCTTTTTCACTGAATACTAAGATTCAGATATTTGTATTTATGTAGGCCCATCATGTATTTGCAGTATTTTGAGTGAAAAAAGACTTGTTAAAGGGCAATTTTAAGAAATATTTGGAAGTTGGCTTCTATGTGTAAAATAGTTGGCCAATAGTTGGCCAGTTGTTTTTAAAAAGCAACTGTGTCTATAAAACAGTAAAAATGGACATGAGCAACAACTAGAGCCAAAAAGCAAAAAAGTAAAAAGGTCACAGCAAAAAGATATGGACATTCCAGTAGACAGTAAGGGAAAGGAGGGACTTTAAACCTCCCACAGCAGCATGTATAAAAATGTGCTTGCACTCCCTGGCTCACTGTGCTAGCTCTAAGTACTCAGAGGAAGAGTCCTACAAGGAACACAGCTGAGTGAGTATATATTTTATCTGCATTGCACTGAGGGTGTAAATTTCCAGCAGCCTCTGTGAAGTGTGTGAAATGAACTGTTTAAGAAGTTGCTGTACATGTTGCAGTGTATAACTGTACAGTGTTTCTGTTTACTTTTTATGTTGTTTTGTGTGTGTAGTGACCCCTGCTTAGGGCCTGTAGAACTAACCCACTCCTTAGCAGGGAAGGGGGAGTAGCTAAGTAGTGCGCTACTTTTTGTAGTTAACTACATTTTTTGTAGCTAATAGCTGTAGCGCCTACACATTTGTGTATCTATAGTAAAAATGTTTGCTACAATTTCGCTACAGATGTCAGGCAATCTGCGCAAAATCTGAACCACAGAACATGGTCGTTAACCTGGTTGGTGGCGATTATGTAATCCTGACTGAGCTGCAGACAGTTCGTGCAAATGGTCACGCGTGGGTCCCATGTGCTGATCACCCCTTACTAGTAGGCTTAGCTCATTCCGCAACCGAAACGTTAGGAAGAGCCATTTTGTCCTTTCAACAGAAATGAAACCACCTTGAGAGCCACAACATTTTATGTCCATTTTAACATCTTGGCTGTATGTCTCAGTATGTGCTGATGTACTAATTCAGGCTAAAAATTAAATAAACGAAAACACAGACTTACTTTGCTCTACTTTAACCTTTAGCTCAGCTGTAGTCGCTTTTCTTGCATCTTAGGAAACTTTTCCACGAGTTTCTTATAAAATGTCTCTCAATGTTCGACTTTTTACGAGACTGAAGTCGCTTCTCATTCTCCTGCTTCTCGTTCGAACTGTCCCATTCTGAGGCACTACATTGTACTGCTGCGCCATTTAAGGTGGAACGGGGAACATCTTATCTTAATTTAGGAATCTTATCTCATGGTCTCTTATTTCAGGTTAGACAATTGTAATCTACTCAATTGAAGTTGACAATCAACTGCCATATCCA